ATTAATAAAGCCCAACTCTGAACACAATAACATTTTACGTGCTGACAGCTCTTTATGTTTTCCTTGCTCTCATGAAAATAATTCTGGCCACAAAGTTGAGAAAAACCCTCCTCTTGGTCTCCCTGGGTAGTACAGTGAGCGCTGTACTTCTGGTCACTTGTTGACATCAGCCAGACTGCTGTACCACACACGTTTCCTTGGTCTCGCTAAATTCTCTTGATCTCCATGACTGACGTTGGCCATTGGATGATATCAGATAGGCGGTTTTAACTCCAGTTCTGTTGCCTCGTTTTTTTGCTTTGTCATTCACAAAACACAGCCCATAAACATGCTGCGGCTGTCTGAGGAGGAGGCACAAAAAATGGGTGTTGTCAGCTGAGGAGTTGGCTAATGTCAGCAGTTGGTTGTAAGAACAGCTCCTCCTGTACTATCAATGGAGACCAAGAGAAGGGTATTCTCAACTTTGCAGTTGAGATTTTCGTAACAGCAAGGAAGATATAAATGGCTGTGAGGCACTACAAATATTATGAAATGTATCATGCTTGGAGTTGGGATCCGTTACAGGGGAGCATTATCATGAGACCTCAAGCACCCATCTTTCCGTGGAGGCATCAGAGAGGCACAGTGACATCACCCACACCTCATGGAAGTGTTGGGAGCTGGGGCAAAGTTAAGACTTTTCCCTTTTTATTGTACTGTTAAAATGCTTTTGTAGCCAATTTGACTTTGGGGATGGGGGCTTCCAACAGAGCAGATCTTCCATTTTCATTGATGGGTCATTTTAAAGTGTTTCTAAAGATAGACTTTTGTTTTAGTTTCAAATAGTGCATGGGACCAGTCAAACTCCTGTTAGGTTTTTATGGATGCCTATGGTCCCTTTGGGAAGATTTGCCCTGTCTGTTCCGGTAATCATTGTGAAATCCAAAATATTTTAGTTATCACCCTAAAGAAGCTCCTGTAATGAGAGTGGGAAGCTACTGTAATGGGAAATCTTCCAATGGTGACATCTGTCCCATTAATTGTCTGAGAGGAGGTCTCCCACTTTTGAGAAATGTTGCCAGGACTGGGAAGTGAAATTTCCCCAACAGAACACAGACAGCAAAACATGGCTTGAGTTTTACTTTGAACCATTCCCTACTCTGTCCTAAAGTGAATAAAACATCTTGCCTGTAGATACACTTTCAAAATGTTACTTTTGAAAGGACTGGGAATGACCACCATGCATGTACAGTATGCTATTGTAATAAGTAGCTGTAGAAGAGTCGTTCATTGATGTTTCATCCTAGAGGAACAGGTGGAGATTCTAAACACATGGCAGCCTTTTAATCTTATTTATAACTACTTAGCTTATTAATTAGTGTCTCTGAGTTCTAGTAGCCTCTGGCATCAACAACTATGCTTTTTTTCCCCTAAGTACATAATAACACACCTTGACAACGTCTGCACAAGTAAGCGTATGATTTCCCACACGCCTACCTCTGTACCACTGTGTGTGCTTTTACTTTGGTGTGGCTTCACTTGCTCACCATGAAATCATTTCACTTCACAATCAGTTGGCATTTTCTGTTTTCCTTGGCTTCTCCTGTCCTGGACACTGACAGCTATCATTGGGGGAAAAATAACAAATATGCATATCTGCATATTTTATTAACCTGTCAAACCTTGCCCTGAATGTTCCAGAGATGCTAATAACAGGGTTAGTGGTACATAGCACATAAGTCAGATCTGCACATACATGTTTGTATTGCCTTCTATTATACATTTTCTTTGTACTTGTGAGGCTATTAAAGTAAATGGAAGGAATTTACTGCACTTATGAAAGCCACGTTGAATCAAGGGCCTTAGGAGAATGTCATTCTTTCACACACTTCTTGGAAGTATAATAGAAGGAAACTCTATTTTTCATAATAGGAGACAAAATGTTATACAAGTGTCTAATACTCAATTAAAGAGACCATTGAGACCCTGCCACTCTGTACAGCCCAGGATGCAAAGAGAAATACCTGGCACTTTGGGGTATAGAGGATCATGTGACCTGCTACCCTTTTCTCACTTTGGTTCCCAGTGATTGGCCCAGCACTGTCACATGGGGGTTAGAGAGAGAGAGAGAGAGTCCTCAACCTTGCTTGAAGTAAAACTAGACCCACCAATTGAATGGTCTCACAAAAAAAGTTATTTCAAGGCAAAGCCACTGTCAAGGTTGTCAATGTGTTTATTTCAGCTCTCAACCGAACTTTCAAGCCCTCAAAGTGGCTGGTGTCTTGGCTGATCACATGTGCAGCACTATGGCAACTACAATCCAAATAAAGGCTAAGATGGCACCTTCCTTGGCTATAAAGAATAAGAGGTTGTAGTTTAAAGCAGACCTTGCAGTTCTTTTCAAGGTTAGCATGTACTGTCTGAGCCTCTTTCCCCTGTATAAATTACATGGTGGTATTAGGTCGAAAAGTAAAGAAAAAATTGGGATTTTATACTTACCTTGCCCCCTTCTTCCATATCACCGGGCTTGACTTTATTATCCTTCTTGGAACATTTGTGGAGGATGCAGAGTGGGCCAAATCCCATGGAAAAGCACTCTGGTCCATTGCAAGAGCATCTTCACAAGATTTGGGTTGCTCTGTTTTCCCCAGGATCTTAGTGGAAGATGGGAAAAGCATTCTTTTTTTCTTTTAAAATGTAATATCTATGCTACATCATGTCATGTACTCATACATGTCAACAACCATAACAGAACGCAGCTGCCAGTATGTTTTGGGGTTCATAGTTGGAGTAGACTTATCAGACAACA